GCCTGAGATCTGTGGACACACTGGAATTAGCTCCGCGTGAGAGCCACCGCGATTGTTCCGTTTTCTAGGGTTCGATTACCCCGTTGCTGAATTTGAACTGTGGACACCTGTTTTGAGGTACTATATGAGTTTTTAGTCATTCAGCGATTACCTAAAAACCCCTCCACAAATTTCCCCTGTGCCGGCACAAAGTCCGCATGCCATCTAGATCCCGCCACTTTGGGAGATGTGGTTAGTTAGCCCTAAACCCACTCGATCGTCCAAGTAATAGGAACTCAGTGGCGTTAAAAAAAGTTTGTGTTCATATCCATGTTTGGTTTGCCATCTCGGCTAGTTCATGTCGTTACTTTATTATGTATATCTCCAATTATGATTGCTTGGTTTTGGAATTTCACCATTGCGCATCATTGGCATTCTCTGATAGTTCCGTTTCACACTCTTGGCTACAAATCTAGTGGTGTCTGGTGCTACCTTTTTTTTATGGCATTAACTGCTCTACTTATGATAACTGCCTTTTTTATGTTAGGTGCACCACATTGTACACTGAAGGAAGGCCTTTTTGTATATTAAAATTAGCATTAGACCCTACATGATAAGAAACCATGGCACCAGGAAGCAAGGCAGAGAAAAAAGCAGCATTGGATGCTGGGGCATGGATGTTCAATGTTGTAACTTCGGTTGGCATAATCATGGTCAACAAGGCCTTAATGGCTACACATGGTTTTAGCTTTGGTAAGAATACACTGCAACACTTTGGTGTTTTTATCTATAGAACATCTGATGTTTCTAGCAAAATAGAACATCGGGTGTCGCTGTATTCTCAAACTGAACTGCCCAACTGTGTTCCTTACATTGTCTCTTCCTTCGCTGCTTTCCCTTGTATCACATTGATCAAACTAGGACAGGACACATATATGCTTATTTAAATTTTGTTGGACTTGTAATTCTATTTATGTCAATGGAAGCCATATATTATGACATTTATCATGGAACATTGGACTGGTTGAACTTGCAAATTTACAAGCTTGGACCCCATGGAACATTGGATTGATTCGACTAGGGTGCTATACATATATCCTTATCTAAATTTTGCTGGACTTGTAATTGTATTTCTTTCTATGAAAGATATCATCACATTTACCATGGAACATTAAACTGGTTGAACTTGCAATTTTAGAAATCGATAGGCGTCCATTTTTCAATAAATAAGACAATGATCTTGACTTCCAATGGAGATGTAGTAATGAGATTGGTAGACTTTATGGGAACACTAAAAGAAATGTTTGTAAGCCACTATATGTGCACCTTTAGCTTGAGATGTGCATTCATGTATAACATTTACGGGAATTTTATTAGAACTACTTATTTAGAGGCTGATGACCTTAAGCCCATAAATGGAGTATGTGTATTCTTTCGTTGACCATCTTTTGTGCCACTAATGTTGTGTTATTATTGTGCTTGTTTGTGCAGCCACAACATTGACTGGGATGCATTTTGCAACTACCACTTTGATGACATTGGTAATGAAATGGTTAGGATACGTTCAGCCATCTCATTTACCTCTGTCGGAGCTAGTAAAGTTTGTATTTTTTGCAAACCTATCAATTGTTGGGATGAATGTTAGCTTGATGTGGAACTCTGTTGGCTTTTATCAGGTACAATATACAACTCCTGCTCTTTTCAATTTATGGAAGTAGTTTATATACTAAACTGTTTTTTCATCATTTTTGTGTTCAGATTGCGAAGCTATCTATTATTCCACTTCTATGCATTATGGAGGTCCTGTTCGAAAATTTCCGTTACTCGAGGGATACAAAGCTTAGTATAGTGGTTGTCCTTGTAGGTGTGGGAGTGTGTACAGTTTCTGATGTCAGTGTAAATGCGCAAGGATTGGTAGCTGCCGTAATAGCAGTTTGCGGCACTGCATTACAACAGCATGTAAGTACAAGAATGTCAGTGAATTCATTTTGTTTGCTGCTGCATATTATATAGTAGTACTTTCTTAATGGGTATCAATTTATATCATATTGATATCTTATTCCTGGTTCCTACCATACTACTCCCTCCGTTCCAAAATAGATGACCCAACTTTGTACTAACTTTAGTATAAAGTTAGTATAAAGTTGAGTCATCTATTTTGGAACGGAGGGAGTACATGTTTTATTTCTGCCTACAGAATTCAGTCTTTGTAGAGTTCTAGGCTATCATGTATTTCTCATGTTAAACTGCAGTGTTTGTTCATTGAGTTTGTTGGACAGCAAAATACTGACTGCATTGACTGATGCCTTAGCTACTATTCTTGGTTATAATAAATGCAAGATACTAGACTGGGTCTGCATGAGATCCAATGGAAGGCTTGCATCTGAAGTCCTATTTTATTGTGCATATTTATTAATTTATTTCACTTAGCTGAGGTTCTCTGATATCTCTTTTATAGTATTTTCTTTGACTCCCTATATTTTAAGCGAGACGTAAACATATACAGAAACCTCTGCCCAGTTAATGTCTCAAAAACATACTAGTAAGTACTCCCTCCGTTCCATAATATAAGAGCATTTTTGACACTAGTCTAGTGTCAAAAATGTTCTTATATTATGGGACGGAGGGAGTAGTAAAAGTTTCTACTTTATTTATCACATATTTATTTGTGACCACAGAAGTTTTGCCCTAGACTCCCTTTTTGTGTGTGCATGTTTTAACAACTCTTCTCTTTTCATGTATTTATTATTGTCTGGATCCTTCATTTTGCAGTATGTCAATTACCTTCAACGGAAGTACTCTCTCAACTCACTCAAACTCTTGGGTCACACTGCACCAGCTCAAGCAGCTTCACTGTTGATATTAGGCCCATTCGTGGACTTCTGGCTTACCAGGAATAGAATCGACACTTTTCACTACACCAGCACAGTGACGGTATGTAACCAAATGAAGAATATATATGACATCATGATGCTTGCCAGCATTCCATAGTACATCATTTATGACATTGCAGTGATTGGCAAATACATCATATATAATACAAAGATTACTGCAGCTCAATTGTTGTTTCATTTGTTTGCTTTTAAAACTGGATTAATTTTGAATCATTATCTGTAATAACCAGTCACTCAAAACACAGGTAGTTGATTGCATGATTAAGGTTGCATAGTGATGGAAGGATCCAGTTGTCTGCAAAATTAGCTAGTACTCCCTCCGTTTCTAAATACTTGTCTTTCTAGACATTTCAAATGACTACTACATACGGATGTATGTAGACATATTTTAGAGTGTAGATTCACTCATTTTGCTCCGTATGTAGTCACTTGTTGAAATGCCTAGAAAGACAAGTATTTAGGAACGGAGGGAGTAATATACTATAAAAATAAATATAATTTATCCATTCCTTGGTATTTACAATCTTATACTTTGAGCCTTCAAAGATATGAATGACTGCTGGACGCATTCTTTGTTTTGTATCAGTTCTCCTACTTATGGCTTGCTTTCTGACATCACCAGTTTCTGCTGTTGACTGACTCCATTTCCCCATCGCCTTTCAGTTCTTCATTGTGCTGTCATGCGTTATTTCAGTTGGGACCAATCTCAGCCAATTCATATGCATTGGGAGATTCACCGCCGTCACGTTTCAAGTGATCGGACACATGAAGACAATTCTCGTGCTAACCCTGGGATTTCTGTTGTTCGGGAAAGAAGGCCTGAATTTCCATGTGGCGTTTGGGATGATCCTCGCCATTGTTGGGATGATATGGTACAGCAGCGCGTCTTCGAAACCCGGAGGCAAGGAGCGGCAGGGTCTGGCGAGCGAGAAGGCCCAGAAGTCGCCACAGTCGGAGCTGGACGATAAAGTATGAGATGGAAGCCTCGAAGTTCCTATCGTCAGCTATTTATATGGACCCTGTCTTATATATCAAAAGTAAAATGATCGTGAGAATTTTCCTCATTGTACACGGTTCCTTGGAGGAATGTTTCTACAGGGATGTTAGAAATGTAGGCCACAGGAGAAAGACAGAGTTTACACTTTCGCAGGAAATACTCCTACATAGGTTACGTGGGCAGACGTTTTCAGTTTCAAGACTTGGTAATTTTATCGCCGGCGTTCCTTCTTTTGTGAAAGTCATCACTGTCGTTCTTTGACAATCTTACTATACACATTTACACGTTACTTGTCAGCCAGTAGTCATTAGAGCAACTCTAGCAGAAGTCAGCCATATGGGCAGCCTCCATATCGCAGATGAAGAGGAAAGACGTAAACATGGATTCGCCAAAAGTTGGTTTTCATATTATTTTTCTTACATGTAGGTCCTGCTTGTCATTGACTACAACGGTTCTTCCCCAATAACCCAAACTTCTCAACACATTTGATTCAACTCGACTTGATTTTAATCTTGGGCCAAAAATTAGTTGCATTGCGACTTGCATTTATAAAACATCTAATGCTTGGTTAAAATAAAAACTAGTTCATCGTAGGCCATTGGTTCCAGCTCCTTCGACCTCAGCCCACTCATATCCACCTGTTTAGAGAGATCAAGTTCAAAATACACACGCAATTCATTGTAGCGGAGATGTGTATGTCCCTCGAGACTGTAACAAGCTAGCTAGCGCATATGATGGCGGCTTTGGGTACATGTTTATATCGTGTTTCTAGCCATGTTTGGTATGAACATGTCTTGTAAACTTGTGACCAACAATTCTATGTTGTAACCGGCGATTATGTCGTGTCGTAAATGGAATACAAGCATTCCATGTCAAGAAAATATAAACTAATTAGCTTTCTTTACGTATATATAAACTAATTAGTTAATATTGTAGTTGCGTAGGTGACGGATGGATTCGTCAGCGGGGCCTAGTTGCGGCCACGGCCACCACCTCCATGGTGATCATTGCCGCAGCTGTCGGGGGAGGGGTAAAGGGGGATGCGACAATGCATGCCGCGATGCCCCGGAAGATGGCCTCGATGCGCTCATCTCATAGCGGCCATGCTTCCGCGATGGTGGTGGTGGCATTGTGGGTCTCGATGCCTTGGAAGATGGCTTTAGCGCACTCGTCCCAGGCCGGCCATGCTTTCGCGGTGGGGGTGGGCGCATGCGCACGGTCCCTAATCCGCCACTCCCTTTTCGCCTCATCCCTTGTGAACTCAGCAAAGGCCCACTTCCAGCTGCTCCCAGAAAGGGGCTAAGCATCTGGCGGCGGTTTCGGGAACATGTTTGGAGAGGTGGAATGAATGCGGGCCAGGGAGATTAGGGAGGTGCCGGAGAAGGCAATCGAAGAGGGGAGGTAGCGACGACGTTTTATAGGTTGCCAGGGCCACCATTAAGTGGCAGTTGAGGAGGCGGCAGGCAGCCATCAAGGGGCGTCCTTCCGGATGAGAAACACGGTCCCGCTCACACACTAGCTAGGAGATGATGTCGTGTGGCGTCCATATGATGGATTATCACAGGAATTCAATGAAGTGGGTGTGGCATTAATGGCCGGGTGGTGCTTCGGAGGGTGCACAACTTCAAAACCCAATTGTGGCGTGAGGAGGAAGAAGCTGAAACTTCCCTGTGTTGACGATTGGGCTTTGGAGCAATTCATACTTGACCTCTTCAACCTCCAAAATATAGAGGATGTGAGGTTGTTTACAGAGCGAGCTCTATAAATTATGCCCATCATTACTCATGTGACTCTACTTTGGCCGAGTACCATTTTGACGCAAATGGGGGTGTGAAATAATCAATCCGTTATTTTTCCATTCATTAATCTAGCGCATTTAAGAGTTTTGTCACATCATCGTACGCCAGAGAAGGCCCATTAATTATTCAATTTACTTTTCCTTTCAATCGAGGAGATTTTAAGGTATGAAGTTTCTGAATATTATAGAAAACATGAAACATTTTTAAATCCTAAAAGTTTTTTTGAAAATTATGTACACTTTCAGAAAAACGGAAACTAAATTTCAAATAGGAACATCTTTTAAAATTCACAAACATTGTTTGAAAACACCAACTTTTTTTATTAAAACATGAACATTATTTGAATTTGTGAACATATTTTTAGAACGGGAACATGTGTTAAAAATTCGTAACATTTTTTTAAAAATGTGTATCTTTTAACATCATTTTGAAGTATGAAAATTCACTAATACAAGAATATTTTTCGAATTGGGAGCATTTTTTAAAATGTCATTTTCTTTTTAGAAATCTTGAACAATTTTGAAAAACAATACTTTTTTGAAAAAATGGGAAACTTTTTTCAAGTTCCGAATATTTTTCAAAATAGCAACAAAATTTTGGAATTCTAAACATTTTCTATAATGTGATTTTTTTGAAATTAGGAATGTTTTTTGAGAATTTTGAAGTTTGAAATAAATTCTATGAGAAAAATAAAGTTGGAAGGGAAAAAAGAGATAGGGGAAGGAGAATAAAAATAGAAGTACAACACAGAAACAAAGAAAAATGGGCCAGCCCATTATTGGTTGTCCTGTGTGAAGCTCCGACTATTTGTCGACCTGTGTGGAAAATAGAATTTTCCCAACTGCGTGGGCAGAAAAATAAGTGGGCTAGCATCGCTGGGCCACAGCAAGCGGCCCACGAACAGAATTCTGGAATATCCTTTTTTTTCTAACAGACGAACGCATAAGAATTTAATACCATCTTGGATAAAAAAAAAATCTTTTCGGCGATGAATGGATGAAAAAAATTGACGAAATGCATCTTGCTTTAGTAGTAAAAAATAATAAGGTAATAGTATATTAGTATTGACATATACGGTATATGTGTACAATATTTGAAGCCTACATATGTTTTTTTTTTCAAGATAAGAGGCCACACGACCCCCATTTGCTTTACGATTTGGAGTTCAGGATACAACACGTAATCCATTACACTATGCAACACATATGTATCAACCCGACATATTGCCATATCTAAAAAAACTTAGATCCCTAGACATATATCCATACATAAAGGATGTCGAAATATTACCTAGAGTAGATATAAAAGCACTGAAACATCTCTATTACAGCTACACACGAACAAGTCCACAACAAAGCATCCAACATACCCCGGGCGGTGTCAACATAGACTCCGAACATTAGGATTTCAACCACGCGTTTGTTGGAAGACATCATTCGCCTTCTGAGTGTCTCTTGCATACTCCTTTAAACATTTTTTGTCCTTGTTTTTTCTGCAGAACCACCCACAACCTTGTAGAGAGCATAAGGTAAATATCACACTAACATGATCAGACTTGTTACTTGTTTTCCAACATACGTAGGTAGTTGATGGTTCACAAGTGTTTTGGTAGAAAATGACATTATGCTAACTAGTATAACGCAAATCAAGAACACCCTAATAATTGTTTTGTATTACTTTTAATCTCGTTAGAGGAAGCAGTTAATTTTCTAGCACCCATTAAAAAAATCAGCAACAATGCGCGGGGCATCGTTACATTACAGTAAACATCGACTAAGATGCCATGGTTGTTGAGTTGCAACCAAGATTGATTGAATTAATCGCTACAATTCACAACTAAACCATAATTTTCTTTGAGTTAATACCACTATTAGTACATAAACTTGTAGTGGTGGGAACAAAGTCATACAAGAACTTAAAAAACCCATAAAAGTAGTCCTACAACTTGCTTAACAGAATATTTTACTACAATTCTGTTAAATCTGATGACACAATGGTAATCGTCTGTTAACTGCGGCGGCAGCTCTCTCTCTCTCTCTCTCTCTGTGTGTGTGTGTGTGTGTGTGTGTGTGTGACGCCCCCGATTTAATCGTACACTAATCATGCACGCAAATGTGTACGATCAAGATCAGGGACTCACGGGAAGATATCACAACACAACTCTACAAATAAAATAAGTCATACAAGCATCATAATACAAGCCAGGGGCCTCGAGGGCTCGAATACAAGTGCTCGATCATAGACGAGTCAGCGGAAGCAACAATATCTGAGTACAGACATAAGTTAAACAAGTTTGCCTTAAGAAGGCCAGCACAAACTGGGATACAGATCGAAAGAGGCGCAGGCCTCCTGCCTGGGATCCTCCTAAACTACTCCCGGTCGTCATCAGCGGGCAGCACGTAGTAGTAGGCACCTCCAGTGTAGTAGGGGTCGTCGTCGACGGTGACGTCTGGCTCCCGGACTCCAGCATCTGGTTGCGACAACCAGAAGGAAAGGAAAGGGGAAAAAGGGGGGAGAAAGCAACCGTGAGTACTCATCCAAAGTACTCGCAAGCAAGGAACTAAACTACATATGCACGGGTATATGTGTAAGGAGGCCATATCAGTGGACTGAACTGCAGAAGGCCAGAATAAGAGGGGGATAGCTAGTCCTATCGAAGACTACGCTTCTGGCAGCCTCCGTCTTGCAGCATGTAGAAGAGAGTAGATAGAAGTCCTCCAAGTAGCATCTTCAAGTAGTGTCTCCAAGTAGCATCTCCAGTAGCATCTCCACGTAGCATCGCATAGCATAATCCTACCCGGCGATCCTCTCCTCGTCGCCCTGCGGAAAAGCGATCACCGGGTTGTCTGTGGAACTTGGAAGGGTGTGTTTTATTAAGTATCCGGTTCTAGTTGTCATAAGGTCAAGGTACAACTCCAAGTCGTCCTGTTACCGAAGATCACGGCTATTCGAATAGATTAACTTCCCTGCAGGGGTGCACCACATAACCCAACACGCTCGATCCCATTTGGCCGGACACACTTTCCTGGGTCATGCCCGGCCGCGGAAGATCAACACGTCGCAGCCCCACCTAGGCAAAACAGAGAGGCCAGCACGCCGGTCTAAACCTAAGCGCGCAGGGGTCTGAGCCCATCGCCCTGAGCACACCTGCACGTTGCGTACGCGGCCGGTGAGCAGACCTAGCAACCTCCATTACAAAGGAAGTTGCGTTAACGCAGTCCAACCCGGCGCGCGCCGCTCCGTCGCTGACGTCTGAAGTGCTTCGGCTGATACCACGACGTCGGGATACCCATAACTACTCCCACGTAGATGGTTAGTGCGTATAGGCTCGTAGCCAGACTCAGATCAAATACCAAGATCTCGTTAAGCGTGTTAAGTATCCGCGAACGCCGAACAGGGCCAGGCCCACCTGTCTCCTAGGTGGTCTCAACCTGCCCTGCCGCTCCGCCACAAAGTAACAGTCGGGGGCCGTCGAGAACCCAGGCCCACCACTACCTGGATGGAGCCACCTGCCCCTTCAGCCCCCAACTCCGAATAGTATCACAGGTAATGTAACAGTGTAAAGTACATAGTATATGCCCGTGATCACCTCCCGAAGTGATCACAGCCCAGTAGTATAGCATGGCAGACTGACAAGAATGTAGGGCCAATGATGATAAACTAGCATCCTATACTAAGCATTTAGGATTGCAGGTAAGGTATCAACAGATGTAGCGACAATGTCAGGCTATGCATCAGAATAGGATTAACGAAAGCAGTAACATGCTACACTACTCTAATGCAAGCAGTATAGAGGAGAATAGGCGATATCTGGTGATCAAGGGGGGGGGGCTTGCCTGGTTGCTCAGACAAGGAGGGGTCGTCAACTCCGTAGTCGAACTGGTCAGCAGCAGCGTCGGTCTCGTAGTCTACCGGAGAGAAGAGGGGGAAGAAGTAATGAATACAGAGCAAACAAAGCATCACAAATATAACAAGGCAATACGCGGTGTTCGGTGTGCCCTAACGCGGTAGTAGGTGATACCGGTGAAGGGGGGAAAACATCCGGGAAAGTATTCCCGGTGTTTCGTGTTTTCGGGCAGAGGAGCCGGAGGGGGAAAGTTGCGGGTTCGATAGGTTAGAGGGGTGTGGCGGACGAACGGACCGCGTATCCGGATTCGTCTCGTCGTTCTGAACAACTTTCATGTTGAAAACATTTTAATCCGAGTTACGGATTAAAAGATACGATTTTTAAAAGATTTTAACAATTTTGGAATTTAATTATTTATTTAATTAATTCGAAAAATGTATTTATGACGTCAGCATGATGTCATGCTGACGTCAGCAGTCAACAGGGGTTGACTGAGTCAACCCTGACAGGTGGGTCCCGTTCGTCATACACTGTTAACTAATTAACCTAATTAAGTTTAATTAACAGTAGTTAATTAGGTTAATTAGTTATTAGGTTAATTAACCAGGATTAATTAGATTAATTATTTACTTAACAGTTAATTAGGTTAATTAGTGA